GGGCTTTAGATATTTTTATAGGTTAATTAGCTTAATATTAGTTTTGGGATAGATAATATTAAGCTAATTAACTCATAAAAATACCATGTGCATAATGATATTTAGGTATCTAGGAGATAGAAGGAAAAACTGGACTAATTTGTCCCTATGAAATTTGACAAAAAAAAGATAAAAAAAATCAGATCAAATATTTACTGTCGATCATTTAAAGTCCCTAAAAATATTTTATATGATAATTGCTCATTCCTTGCAATTATTTTAAATAACATCAATATCATATGGCAGTATAGTTGACTATATTCTTACTTTTTATGTTGTTGTAGTTAATTAAAATTTCAACAGTGATTTTAAACAGATGTATAGTTGACTATATTCCTACTTTGTATGTTATTGTAGTCGAAAGATCTCAAAAGCAATGAGAGGTTTGTGTAGTTGACAATATTCTTACTTTCTATATTGTTGTAGTTAGCTAAAATTCATACTTCGTATAATTGACTATATTCCTACTTTCTATGTTGTTTGTAGTTAGCTAAAATTTCTACTTTATATAGTCGACTATATTCCTATTTTCTATGTTGTTGTAGTTAGCTATTCAATTAATAATACAATTAACTATATAACATTCACTATAATTAATTCAATTGTAAATAATATAGTTAACTATATATATTCTTTACAATTTTATATTTTTTTAATCGATTTCTATTAACTAAATACCATTTATAATTAAATATAGTTAACAAAAATAGTTTAGTGGTTATATACGAATAGCTAGCTATTCAGTCATGTATAATGATAAACAATAGTTCACTATGTAAAATATTGTATTGATCCAGTTCGATAGTTATACTTCATAGCCAACTATACCGTTCACCTTGTTATTAATGAAATAGTAAACATTCATCTTGTTATTGACGAGTTCAAAACCAGAACGAAACAATCGATTGATGATTTTGGATCTTTAATATTCGAAGACTCGTGGACGATGAAGAAATTGAGTAAAGGTGAAAAAAATGC